GAATTGCTGAAAGATGGGAGCTGGCCCAAGAGTCAGGCTTACCATCTGCTACCTAAGCAACTTTGTGGGAAAATTGCTGAACCTCCCTAAGACAATCTTTCTAGAATATGGTGGGATTCAGTTCAGATGTGTCTCTGTCCTTAGCTATCAAATGAAAGTACTCATTTCATCACATAGTAATTGTCATGAATAGGATAATGAAGTTTTAGAGTTTTAAAACTCTAGCTGACAAATAATAACTGTATATGTTTATAGCATAGAATTGTGATGTTTTGGTAAACGTATACCTTATAGAATGATCAAATTGGGCTGATTAGTATATCTATAGATTTAAATTGTTTTATGATAATGACATTTAAAATATTCTCTTCTAGTTTTTAAGATATTCAGATATGATTAGGTATAATCACTTGTTGAATAATAGCACACTAAAACTTGCTCCACCTGCAATTTTGTAGTTGTTGACCAATGTGTCTCCTTTCCCTGTGCATCCTCAGCCCTGGCCTCTGTTAACCACCATTCCAGTCTCTACCTCTAAGAACTTGTCTCTTTTAGAGTCCACAGACAAGTGAGATCAGACGTTTGTCTCTCTGTGATGGGTTTTTGTCCCATTTCCCTTAATGTTCCCTAGGCTCATCCATAGAATTTCCTGAGTTTTCAGGCTGGAGAATATTCTACTGTGTACATGTCATCAAAGTAATGCAGATGAAAAATCACGATGCAATATCATCGCACACCTCTTGGATTGCCTATTATCAAAAAGATGAAAGGAGCAAGTGTAAGTGAGGACATGGAGATAAGAGAACCCTTATACATGTTGTTGGCATTGCCATTTTAGAAAACATTGTAGAAGTTCTAACGCAGACTAACCTAAACACAGAATAAACATAGCAACCCACCACTGAGAAATGCCCAATGAAGCTGGAGTCATTATGCAACAAGAGTCTGCTCTATGCAGCATTTTCACAGGAGCGAAGATACAGAAAGCAGTAAAGAGTCCATTATCAGCAAGGGGAATAGCAACATTTAAGGATCTAACAGAAAGTAAGGCGTTGCTGGTGCTTCTTTGGTATCTGCTGTTCTTGTTGTTGAGACAGGATCTCCCTGTAGCCCAGAGTATTTTGATAAACAGTATTTCCCATTTCCTTAACACAGAAAGCCACCATGCCCACTCACTGTATGTAATGCTCAGTATTCCAGTAAAATACAGCACTTAGTCTTATAGTTGTAGATAGGAAAAAATTGTATTAAATAATTTAACTAAAATCACAATCTTTAAAGTCAAAATCAGAACCTACTCTCATATTTCTAGTTTCCTGTAATTTGTATCATATTATCTAGCTATTTCCTAATTATACATAAAGAGAAATAAATCCAAAATGAAAGGGAATATTTACAAAAAATATAATTCTAAAAAATTCCACACAAACTAAATTGCTAGCTTTCTACATTAATGTAAAATCTGTTAAAGATTCACCTGACTTTGTTAATGTTTAGAGAATAATGTTGAGTCAAAGTCCAACCAAAAAAATCCCAAAAGCCACATTAACAATGGGCATTTTGTGAAATAACTCCACATTTTACTACATGATATTTATGATAGTGGGTTTTAATGGACAGGATTATCCTGAAACTAAAAACAAACCACTGCTATGAAAACTGGATTACATTTCCAAAAGAAAGTGTATTGAACTATAATTTAAAAAGCTTAATCTTAAGTTATAAATTAGCAAATTTTAATAAGTGAGAAATTCTTATTTTCACCACTTGGCATTATGAGGGAATGCCCGTAAGCTGCCATGAATGGCTAAAAAGCTGCATACACCGTGTCAATGAAGAGATGCAGGCCATTGCTCCACGGTGCTTCTCATTATCCCACCAGTGTGGCCTGGACTTCATTTTATTAACTTTCAATGAAAGTTCTGCCAAATGGAACCCAAGAGTCAGGACACTCCCGGGAGAAAAATTAGGTCGTGATGAAATATTCAGCTCCTCACAATAACTCCATCACTGCAAATTAGAGACTATATTAAACTCTGAAGAAATCAAAATACCAGGAAGCCATGAGCCAGTATGACATACTACACTAGCACTAGACAGATTCTTTCAATTCTCTCAATTTAATTTTCTTTGAAAAATATGACCACTTAAAATGCCACTGAGATCTAAGCTTATAATACTAATCAACTATTAAGAGAAAAAATAGCACAGCACAATAGAAATATGATAAAATTTAGAATAGCCATCAGCTCTATAGTCAATAGACTTAAAACTAAATACTGGAGACCTAGGTTAAATGAGTCATTCTACTGTCCTATTCGTGGATGACAGGTCTCCAATCAGACAACAGCCATTTCAGCAAAAAATGTTAATCGTGAGTGTATTTATAACTAAAAATAATATTTACTCAGTGTCTACTTGAGGCAAGTGCTGTGGTTAAATACTTGACAGGATACTCTTTTTCACCGTTTAGTGTGTGTGTGTGTGTGTGTGTGTGTGTGTGTGTGTGTGTCCATATGCCATGATGTGCCTGTGGAGGTCAGAGGACACCTTTCAAGAATTGGTTCTCTCCTTCCACCACACGGGTCCTGGGAACCAAACTCAAGTGGTCAGTCTTAATCCCAGGGTGCCTTTACCCGCTGAGCCATCTCTCCAGCCCCACATTTAATATTCTTAAAACCTATTGTAGGTTCTCCTATTAGTCTCACTCCACAGATGAAAATTACTAGCTCACGGGGCTGGAGAGATGGCTCAGTGGTTAAGAACACTGGCTGTTCTTGCAGAGGACTTGGGTTCAATTCCCAGCACCCACATGACAGCTAACAACCATACATAACTCCAGTTCCAGGGGATCCAATGCCCTCTCTGCAGGCACTGCACAACACAGGCACACTTACACACATGCAGGTAATACACTCATACACATAAAATAAAAATAATAAATAAAATTTTTTTTAAAAAATAAAATTACTTGCTCAGTAACACCTGGCTACTGTGAGGAGCTCGGATTTGAATTCAGATCTGCCTATGTCTATTAACCTAATAAGTTCCTTTCCTATGAATTTATCCTAAAAAGTAACCATGGATGCATGTAAAGATTTATATACAGTGTTATATAGTGCAATAGCTTCCTTTTTTTTTTTTTTTTTTTTTTTTTTTTTTTTTTTTTTTAAAAAAAAAAAAAAAAGAGGACGATAAATCTTTCACTACCAGGCTGGCCTCAAACTCACAAAGATCTGCCTGCCTCTGCCTCCCAAGTGCTGGTATTAAAGGTGTGCACCACCACACCCGGCGAGCTTTTTTACAATAGCAAAATACTGAAAGATATCCAAATGCCCAGCAGTAACGGATTACTATGTAAACGACAGTGCATCCCTAAAACTCAATACAATAGTCATTAAAAAGACTTTTTGGTGGATGGTCACAAGGAAACAAGAGTTTTCCAGACAGCTGGTCAGTTACTCCTAAGAACTGACAGCGATGGTGACAGCATGCACAAGTCCTATGCAAGCCCAAACCAAATGCAATCCCAGTATGTACATGGGGATGTGAAGAAGAAACTCCAACCCAAACTAAGGAAATTTTGGCAACTGATGGCTGCTGGGACAGAGAGAGACAGTCTCTTTCAAGGATGGGACTTTTCGTAGGGTAACCAGGCTCCAGTGCATGGATCCACACTGAAGGACATTTGGGGACACAAACTAGATTTTACAGGCTTTATTATATATAATATGTATTATATAAATATAAGAGTACATTACATTTGTCTGGGGGCAGTAAGGGGAGGTGCAGATAGGGGAGGGGATCTAAATACCATAAAGTTATATTGATGAAAATCACAAAAATTCAATTTAAAAAAATTTTTAAGTACTTGGGAAAATTCCTGGGGGCTGGAGAGATGGCTCAGTCATTAAGAACACTGACTGTTCTTGCAGAAGACCTGGGTTTGAATCCCAGCACCCACATGGCAGCTAATAACTGTCTATAACTCCAGTTCCAGGGGATCTGACAGCCTCTTCTGTCCTCCACAAGCATTGAATGACATGGGTGTACTTACCTACATGCAGGCATAACTCTCATACGCATAAAATAAAAATTTTTAAAAATACTTGGAAAGATTCCTAATAGAACAGAAAAAATATATATACATATATA